GTTTATATATATAAGGGGGAGGGAGAGGAAGGGAGAGAGAGAGAGCTGCCTCACAGACAAAGGCGCCATTGAGGCCGAACATTGCTGAAAGACACACAGCCATAATTGGAAGAATCAGAACCAGAAATAAGGCTTCCGTATCTGTGACCCAGTGCTTTTTCTATGACACCATACTTTCTTTTTCTGAAAAACAAAAAACATAGAGTCAGTTCTCATTTTTCAATAGTTGAGGTCTAAATGTGTGAGTGTGGAATAAACCACTGAGCGTGGCTCAGGCCCGGAGCCCCGTTCCCAAGCCCAGGGGCTGCACAGCACAACGCCACCCCGTGCGCTTCTGCTGGAGGCTGCCTTCTTCCCCGTGGCCGATTCACCGGCACGGAGCTTGGGGCTCGCTCGTGTCTGAGGCTCATTGCAGCCTTTCCACCTTTAGAAAAACTGGACAGCGCTTCAGTGCCACACCTGAGCCAATTTCAAAAGATGAAATCACCAACCAAAGCACATAAATGAGAAAAAAACAGTCCCAAACAGACCACGGAAAGGACGTCTGTTTACATCTCAGGGATGCAGCCAAAAGGCAGAGTGGGCTGTGTTCAGCTGGTCCAACACACACTTGTCCGAGGGTGGCTGGGGATTTCTGATAAATATTATGGAGGAGGTAAATCTGCAGACATGGAACCCAAGGAAAAGCATGGTCCAGCGAACGTGGAAAAGGCGATTTGCAAATCTAGGAATGGAAACATGATGGCCCCAGAAGAGGTGCTCTGAAAACACTGGCGTCTCTTCTTATGGGGACAAAAGGGGTTTCTGCAGGGGCTGAGCTTCAGCCAGGCATCTTCCCTGTCGTCCCCATCTCCGAGGGGGGCAGCTCAGCTCTGCCCGTGGCCTTCCCTCTCCCTTTCACCAAAATACGAGATGTCTTGGTCGCCAGCTGCCTCCGCCTGGCCTCACCCAGGGATGCTGCGGGCCAAGTCCTCCCTTCCCCTTCCTCAGGAGATGGTGGATGAGGCTCGGCCCTCCCAAGACCTCATCCTCTCTGGGCTTTCGGTGCAGCATGTGCTGCTGCTTTCCCCTCTGACATCTTCATGATTTTCTTCTCTCCCTCCCAGTCTCTCTGTACTGGAATTACCCAGGCTCCACCCGCTCCTCGGTTGTCTATGCTCACTCCCTAGTGACATGGGTGGAGATCACACGCACACATGCATGCGCACACAAAATTCACACCATGCAAAGGAAGGGGCTGCCCTTGGTGGTCCTGGCTCACAGTCCCTACCTGGCTGCCTGAGTCGGGACTAAAAGAAGCCATATGTCCACCTGACATGGGGACGCACGCCCTATGCGGTGATGACTCCTCTTGGTGGGAGCTGGGCCGGATGGAGAGACCTGGAGATGAGCCCAGCGTGCCTCGAGGTGTATCTGGGTGTGTCTGCGGGGCATTTCCAGAGAAGACTGGCATTGGGCCAATGAACCGAAGTGGGCAAGACCTGCCTCGATGCGGGGGCGCTGCCTTGCAGTCTGGGGCCTGGACAGAACAGAACTGAGCCGAGGAGGCCGGCCAGTGTGGGGAATCTCGTCCTCTGATGGGCGTGTCACCCGTGGACATAGCTTTTTGACATGAACTCATGCTGGCGGCTCCACAGAGCTTCCAGATCTGCAGCTTTAGACTGGGCTGCATCCGCGGTCCCTCCTGTTCTGAGGCTCCCGGCTCCTGAGTCCAAGCAGTGGCTGGGTCCTGCGGGCTCTCCACCTCTGACCCTCTGAGACAGTCTCACGGATCTCCTTCCATAAGAGCACATATATCCTGCTGGTCCCAGTCCTCTAGAGAGCCCTGACACACACACGAACGACTCAGCTTCATGTCTTGGGACTGGACTCCCTGATCCCTGGAGTCAGAGCGAAATACTCAGCTGCCGGCTGCCCAGTCCACAAATCATGATGGAGTAGTACCAATGGTCTGCCTTCTACATTAAAAACAGGTTAACCAAAAAGCAGCTGTGAGCAGATGTTTTCAGATTTTCAGAAAGTGGAAGCCCAGTTTGAGATCCGTGAGAGAAAGGAAATATTTGCAGTCTCCCAACCACTGCCCTGCCCTGCACTTGGGAGAACAAAGAGATCTTGAGTTGAGATTCCAAGTAGCACACTGTGACTTTGGTTTCCCTGAGTCTGGGGAAAACAGATGGAACCTGGGATATCTAGAGCCCCAGACAGTTACAGATAAGAGCACACTGGAAGGTTACACAGTGGTGTAGATTTTCCCTAAGGTAGAGGCTGCTGTGTACTCACCTAACAAAGATGACTAAAAGAAGCAGTGCAAGAATTTACCTCATCCGTATGCGGCTTTCCTACCTAACAAAGCAAAACAAAACACTATTAAAATTTGTGCTACAAAATGTGGGCACTTAACATACAATCTGTGCTGCTCTCTGGCACCCAATGAAAATGTGTACATTGCAAGAATCAGGAAAATGTGATCAATAACTAAGAGAGGTATCAGAAATGGAAGCTTCTCTGAAGGGAGGG